AGCTGTGCCCATTCGGCGGGGAGGATGTTGAATATCCAGCCAAACTCTACCGCGCAACTCCTTCGAACTAGCTCATACCCATCGCAATAAACATCACCTTGCTCTTTTTTCGCTCAAAAAATGTCGTCCCCATTTCGTCTCTTCATGTCTCACTAAAGATTCCTCATTAACCACTTCAAGAAGGTCACCGGGGACGAGCGGCCGCTCAAGACGTTGCACAAATAACGCCTCATGGTCAAACATTTGCCCTGGAGCCATTTCAGTGTCCTCATCCACTTCACCCCCCAAGTCCCAGGCCTATTCCCCAGCAGGCATGATTGCAAGGTAATTATATGACCTGCCAACAGCCGGGTTCTATCATTTAAAACATGTACATGCAGTTAAAAGTTAAAGAAATACAAGTGTGTATGTTTATTTTCGTAACTATCAGATATTTAACTTACTACGCAAAGCGTAAGGGTTTCATGCCTACTAATAATTAGGAACCAATTTTTTCTTTTTTGTAGACTGTCACCATCTGGCAGAACACGACTTGCGATCCTGTACTACAATGAGAATGCAGATCGCTGGCCCGTTTCACGTTGAAGATGTCCAAAGCACGGAAGGGTCACTATACGGCCAACATCACAGAGCTTCCGAATTATCGTAAGTGTAGCAGCAAATGCAGGGAGAATACATTGCATAATGCAATTAGGAATGTCATGATACATGGGCTGATTTTCCAGAGTATGTCAGAAAGCTTATAAAAGGGGTAGTGGTAAGCAACGAGCTGTGTTGCCGTTCCTCTTTTCCACTCCTAAATAACATTGTAAGTGCAGGACAATTTCCGTTTTTGATCAGGAATTCATAATGAACATATTAAATTAGATAGATGTGGGTAACACCAAAAACATAAAATTGAACGTTGTGGAAAAACTTTGTAAAGATATGATCGAAAACGACTTTGTCTTGCCCTGGGGTGTCTCTCCAGGAATCACTTAAGTTTCACGCTGCCTCCAATTTCTGCGAAATCTCCAGGCCCAGAATAACAGAAGCACATGAACAATTGTGACAAACCCCTTGTTAGGGGAAGCGCACATACGATGCATGCACGTAACATGGGCCACACCTCTCAGATTGCATAAGTGACCCCTGTAGCCGTTTCGCGCCGAGCCCAAAAGATGGCGCAGCGGCAGCGATGCAGGAGCGGGACGAGCAGCGAGGAAGACAGGTGTCGGGGGAGAACGGCGAGGCTTAGCGACACCAGCAATACTGCAGATACCGCTATGCGTGTGAATAAAGTGTTTAAGTAAGATAGCTAGCGTGCGAGTCGTGACCGAGACAGTCAACAACAAGGTTCACAAGTGGGAACTCGTCCTTCGGACTCAAACCTTCAACAAGCGCAGAACTGACGTAAACAGTCTGCTACTCGGTTTAGCCAGTGTAGCTCTTTGGGTTCTTTGTGCCCACCCGGACTATGGCGACCCCGTCCAGCGTGGTTGCACAGTTGCTCAGCCTGACTGATGGGACTCCCCTAGACTGTGAAAGAATGGCAGCAACTGTCCGCAACCTGCTCCTAAACACGCCGATGGATGTGCAGCAACCGGCAACGAATCCGGCGCAACCGACACCGTGGAAGTGCGGAAATATCCAGTTGTCAAAGTTCAATAAATACGAAGACCACCAGAACTCTAATGAGTTCCTAGAGAAATTCGAAAATCTCTGCCTGGTCGCGAAAAATTGGAGGCGACAAGCGCGTTCACCAAGCGTGCTCTTCTAGTGCCTTGGAAAGCACTGCCAAGCTTTGGTGGCGGTTCTCCGGCGGGTTTGAGGACTGGGACACATTCACGAAAGAGTTCCATGCAGAGTTCACCTCCGTGGACTACAAACATCAGTTAAAGGAGGAGCTCCAGCATCAAACCCAGCACCCGCAGAACCTGAGCCACTTTATCCATGTCATCGCGGAGTATTTTGACAGAGAGGCGAAACCGTGTCGGACGCGGACAAGGTTGCGAGGGTCCACAGGCAAATGCATCCCAAGTTCCAGGACTTGTGCGAGGGTATGACCTTTACGAACCTGCGCGAAAAGGCCAAGGTTGTGGGCGGTGTTGTAGAACATGCATGGCACCGGCTGAAGTATGTGCTGCCAACAGCAAGGACGGACCAGGTGGCCAGGGATCTCGCCTTCGTCGAGCACCATTCAGTCGCCCCAAACCCGGGCTATACACTGAGCGCCGGCGTCGGCCCCCATGCTGCCACCCTGGCCCAAGGCCACCCACCAGCTCCAGCAACATGGAGCCCGAGCGGGGCTCACAATCAACCCAAAGAGGGTGCAAGTGTGCAAACAGTCCCTCGAATTCCTCGGTCATGTGATATCCCCGGGAAGATGTCAGCCAGATCCTGAGAAGGTTTGAGCTGCTGAGGCCTACTCCGATCCAACATCCGTCAAGCAGCTGCAGACATTTCTGTGATTAGTGGAGTATTAGCGCAGCTTTATCTCGAGATTCTCTGACACTGTGAAACCACTGACAATACTGCTTAGGAAAAATGCCCCTTGGACATGGGAGCAGCCACAACAGACCACCTTCGAGTTTCTGAAGGCTCAGCAATCAGAAAAAGCGGCGGTTTTTCTGCCCAACCTCAACCGCCCTTTTGTCCACGAGACAGATGCCAGCGGCATCGGCATTGCCGCAGTCCTCCTGCAAGAACATGACGGTCAACTTAGGCCGGTCTCCTCCATCAGCAGAACACCGAATGACGCTGAAAGAAACTACACAGTTCAAGAATGGGAATGCCTAGCAGTGGTCTGGGCTCTGGACAAGTTTCACCCATTCGCGGAATTCAGCCATTTCAAAATCCACTGCGACAACGCATCCCTCGCTTGGATGTTCAGCACAGAACAGATATCCAGCAGGGTCAGAAGATGGGTCCTGCGATTGCAAGGCTTCAACTGCACAATCAAGCACCAAAGAGAGAAGGCCAACATCCCTGCAGATGCATTAAGCCGTTGCCCACTGCCCACAGCAGACACTGCTCCACCATCCGTTGCGGAGGATTGGTTCCAAATCCAGGTGAACCGAGCTGAGTCCCTCTATACATTTCGAGGAGCTGGCAGCCCTGGAGGCCAACGACATATCACTACTCCGAGACACAGACAGGCTGGCAGCGGAGCAACTTAAGGACGACTGCGTAAGAGCAATAATTGACTTCCTAAAAGCAGACTCGCTCCTGTCTGAGGCTAAGGAAGCACGCATGGTACAAGACCTGGCAGAGAGCAGCGAGATAGACACCACGTGCCTCCTGATGTACACTGGACAGGATATTAAAGTCCCCTGGCTACCTCTGCACCTGAGGACATTTTCTCTGCAGATGGAGCATGATCATCCATTGAGCGCAAAAGCAGGGTACTTCAAAACACTCAGACGCGTCCAGGGGAAGATATATTGGCTCGAAGTGCAGTCCGACATATCCTGCTACGACCGGTCGTGCAAGTCTTGCCAGGCCTTCAAGCCATGCCGACAAAAGCCCAAGGGTCTCATGGACAGCTTACGGGCAACAAACCCCATGGAGCACCTAAGTGTCGGCCTGATTGGACCTCTCCCCACCACAGCATGGCAGAACGAACACATACTGGTTGTTCTCGACAAGTTCACCAAATTTATTGAACTCTACCCTTTGCGTGCACCAAAGTCCCGAGCCATTGTGGGGAGGATGGTGGATGTCTTCTGCCACCATGGCGTCCCTCTGAGCATTTCCAGCGGCAATGGCAAGCCATTTGTCAGCGGGTTGTAAAAGGGCGTGATGACAACTTGGGACATCAAGGACTGCTACATCGTGCCTACAGACCAGCAGGTGAGACCGTCTAGCAGCATAAAGCTATAGTGAAGCAGGAAATCGTGGCATACTGGACCATCCACCGAGACTGGGACAAGCGCCTGCCAGAGGTGGCATTCGCCATGAGAACCTCGGAGAGCGTGGCAACTGTCTATACACCTGCCTTCCCGTGCTATGGCTGTGAGCTCCACACGCCCTGGGAGTTCAGGCCCTTGCAGAAACATCCAGAAGCCCGGCTTCCCACTTCCCCTGCGTAAGCCGCAGAGCTCAGCCAACACCTCAGAGATGCACTTGCCTTTGCAAGGGAGCACCAGGCCAGGGCACAAGAGATTTGACGGTACCAATTCGATGCCACACGACAGTCGCGCAACTTTGCACTGGGTGACATGGTGCTCCGTGATTTGCACACCCTAAGCAATGTGAGCCGCGGAATCGCAGCCAAACTTTCCTCCAGACTACCAGACCTTTTATGGTTGCGGCTGAATTGGGCACAATGTTCATAAACTGCAACGTCCGACCACGGGCCGAGCATGTGGTCTGGCCAATGTGGACCAACTTGTGCGATTCCAGGACTCTTGGAACTATACACACACGGATTAAGGGGGGGGGGGGGGGACTGTTCGGGGAAGTGTACATATGATGCATGCATGTAACAAGGGCCGCACCTCTCAGATTGCATAGGCGACTGGTGTAGCCGTTTCGCGCCAAGCCCGAGAGATGGCACAGCAGCCGCGATGCAGCGAGGAAGACAGGAGTCGGGGGTGAACGGAGAGGCTTAGCTACACCAGCGATACCGCCAATGCAGCTGTGCACGAGTATGCGAGAGAATAAAGTGTTTAAGCAAGATTGCCTGCGTGCGAGTCATGACCGAGACAGCCAACGACGAGGTACGTCACACCCTATAACTTGACACCTAGCAGGCACAGGACCATGAAACGATGCCGTTACTCTTGTGTTGGTGTTGTGAACATACCCTGAAAACTTTATACCGACATCTCGAAAAACAAAATATGTTTGTTTTCGGGGCCAAAGTCCTCGCTTTAGGGGACTGTTAAGCTACGGAGGCATTTGCTGCGTACACCTCCGCTGATGCGCCGAAACTAGGATTCGCGGCCGGCAACAGCAGGGCGCTTCTATGATGGTCATGGTGCCTGGAATATAGGCAATATATCCTGACGACACCTTACCTTCCGAGGGACATACCGTCCCTGTAGCCCAAGGAGCAGGCTTTTGGACTGGAGTGCTTCTACACGGTCCTCGTCAAGTTGCTTGCTTGCAGTACTGACAAAAAGAAAAAAAAAAAAGTTACCATGGAATTTAACAAAAAGCCTCAGTCCACAGAAAGCAATGAAGAAATATTTCTATAATGTGAGCTTGATGCCATCTCATCGGAAAAAAATATCTCTCCTCAACACCAACCTCACAAAGAGAAAACTTGGCCCACAACAACACATTCGAAAGAGGTACAATATTTTCCAATTTATAACTTGCGGTTTATTTTAAAATTTTTCGTCGGTGCATCTCCTACAACAGAGTGACCTATGTGCAATTTTTTTTCTGCAAGTATAAACCTGAAGTGGGGTGAGACTTTGCTTTTGAGAATCTGTTTTGGTTTCATTAATCTTTCATACGTCAATGTTTTCTACTCGCTGGGGGTTTCTTTGTAGCTAGTGTCAGTGGTAATGCTTTAATGATTAATTGCTTATCCTTGACTTTAAAGAGACTGTCTGGTTGAAACCGGAAGTACTTAAGTTTTTGTGCTCATTACGTCGAGGGAGCTTCATATAGACAAACATTATTTTTATTTTGATATATGATGTCCCAATATTGATTAAACCTTTCATGAGCGTGTGTACGATACTCCAAACTGAAATTCGCCAGTGTCAATGGCTGACATTTGTAGCTGCTGCGTGACGTCGCATAACGCAACGAATCGTCGAATGGTCGGGACAACAAGCGTTGTTCGATGGATGCCTTGTATTTCATAGGTTATACCTCTTATCATCATCATCATTTATTTTCCTTGAGGGCCCGTGGGGCATTATACGAGGGGGTGGCAATAGAACAAAAACAAATAGAACAGTAAACACAATTATAACACTGTAAGCTAGCTAGGTAGGTTAGATAAAGAAAGGGTAATGGCTTCAACAAATTTAGTAGTATCATTATTAGAAACGATGTTATGAGGTAGTGAATTCCAATCCTCGACGGCCAATGGTAGTGTGGAAGTCTGGTGAGAAACAGTTGATGATCGAATTGGACGTAATTTACATAGGTGATCTAGACGCGGGAAAATACGATGGGGAGGTGATAGCAGTGATTCTTTGAGGTGGCTATTGTGATAAAAAATTCGATGGAGGAGAGAAAGGCGTGATACTCGGCGGCGAAGGGAAAGTGGATGAAGGTTAGCTGATTGGCGTAATCCTGATACGCTGGTATATGGTGAGTAGTTGTTATAAATAAAACGAAGGGCTCTGTTTTGGACGGATTCTAGATTATTTGCAAGGTAGGACTGCCATGGGGACCATATAGATGAGGCGTATTCTAATTTCGATCTTATAAGAGTAGTATACGCTACTCGTTTTACGGAGGGTGTAGCAAGTTTAAGGTTACGGCGCAACTATCCGAGAGAACGGTTAGTATCAGAAATAACAGAAGTTATTTCTGATACCTTGTTTTCTGGGTTATACCTCTTTATAACAAACACTGATATAGCATATTATCGTATATAGCAAACTATAATCACAAAGTATGGTTGGTCATGCTTTATTTGGATGGGAGTTCTAGTTATATAACGAAACCAAAACCGTGAGATTTGATGTGCTATCGGTTATAGTGAAACAATTCCTGCTTTTCTTACGTCACAAAATACTATGAAAGTTATTAAAAAGTAGAAAAAATGCCAAAAAAATTTCAAAACGAAAAATTCCAAAATTTTAGATTGCCTAATGTGCAAAAATGCATGTTTCGGGAGGTAGCGCCACCTAAGAACCGAGCGGATAACAGCGGGGGCGCCGCTGCTGGCCTCTATGCAAGGCATCAAGAGCCGGTGCTGACTAAAGCCAACCGCCAACCACGCCACTCATGGCGGAGCTGTAAATGGCGACGAAGTGGAAAGCCGTCTCTCTGGAGACAAAAGTGAAGGTTTTGAGGGCGGTGGACAGCAGTCGGAAAAAAAAAAAGACATCACGGCAGACTTCGAGCTTGCACCAAATACAATATCTACCATCCTGTGTGCAAGGAAGAAGATCGAAGCTCCGGCGGATGTATCATGAACGATGTGCCTGCTGCAGTGGTTGCCATTTCTTCCAGTGCAAGATCGCTTCCTTGGGTACCTCGGAAGTCAGTGCTGGTAGCGGTTCTTGATTTCCGGCCGTGATGCCACTTCTGACACCATGTTAGGTTCGCAGAGAAAGAATGAGATGCTACCGCAGGCCAGAGTGCCACGTATAAGAATCTTTAATCTCGTTGTCTACCACCAGCAGGTAGGCATGCTGCTCAGTAGGTGGCAGGCCCTTTCATACCACAGAGAGGAAAGGCGCTGACTCACCACGGCAAAGTCCTCGTGTGTATGTGGTAAAGCATGAGTACACCACCGGGAAAATATCACAATGTTCAATATTGGCAACACGTCCTACCGGTTTCAATTTTAAACATGAACCCTCAACTACAGGCTCGGAACCATATACCGTATTTACTCGCAGAATGAACGCACTTTTTTTTCCGAAAAATCGATGCAAAGTTGGGGGGGGGAAGGGGGGGGGGGGGTGCCTTCATTGCGCGAAGTAAACTTTTTGCGTCCGTATTTACTCGCATAATGAAGGGACCTTTTATCCTGAAAAATCAAAGTAACTTCTTATCTCTTTGCGCGAGGCGCCCGACCCCTTAACCAAACTAAGCGGTGCAAAAAAAAAAAAAAAAAAAAAAACTCCTGATTTTTTTTTTCAGTTTCTCAAGTTTTTTTGTTTTTTTTTTGCAGTCTTTCGCAAGCTGTTTTGTTTGCTTAGGCGTTGCTTAGGCGAGGGCTCTCCAGTTATCTTTCTTATCTCCTTGCGCGCGACGCACGACCGCCGTAACCAAACTGAGCTGTGCAAAAACAAAAAAGAAAAAAGCTTTTTTCTTTTGTTTTTTCTCACTTCGATGTTTTTTTGCTTTTTTTGCCGCCTTTCGCAAGCTGTTTCGTTCGCTTAGAACGCTTCTCTTTCTTACCTCCTTGCACGCGTCGGCGCGCGAACCCGAATTCCAGACTGCGCTGTGAAAAAAAAAAAGCTCTCAATGTTATTTTTTTCTTGCTTCCGTTGGATCTTGGCGAATTTCTTTAACGCCTTTTGCAAGGCGTTTTGTTCGCCACGCTGCCCATGCATTCGCGACCTCGCTGCACCAGGTTAGAAAAGTGTGTTCATTTCGCGCGTGGGGGGAGGGGGTCAAAATTTTGATGTCCGAGTTGGGGGGTGTGTTTATTACGCGAGTGAAAAAAAAAATCGAAATTTTGAGAGCCGACTTTGGGGTGCGTTTATTACACGAGTGCGTTCATTGTGCGAGTAAATACGGTAGTTAAAAAAAACTCTGTGCCAACCATCAAGAGAAAGAAAACGCACACACACACAACGTTTCACTTGTCGAGGTTGCTGTGTTGAAGAAACAGAATATCCTTAAAGGGCAACTCCGGCCAAAACTCAAAATGAAATAAATTACTGGTATCGCTGTAGTGACATAAAATACGACTCCTGCCAAAATATTACGTCCGTAGGACGCCGCATTCTCAACTAATGCCGATAACAAAAATGCGACCCGCCGCGAGCCGCTGCTCCTTAGCGGGCGGCCAGCGGGTTGCCGATCGCTAAAGCAACATTGGGCCGTGACGTCCGTATTAGAGTGCCTAGAATATACTGGCTAGTGTGACGAGCGCCAGCGCTCCCCTAAGGGAGAGGGTGGCAACTCTTGTTATGAATGCCCACCGAAGGCAGCAGAGGGCGCTGGCTGTCGGGTGGGTGCTGCCGCAGCAGACAACGCGGCTTTCTAGCTTTGGAAGTGTACAAGCGGTTGCTCTTCTGCGTATATGTGATTGTTCTTCTGGTGCGCGCCCTTTTTTGTTCACCGAGCTACAGCGGCTGTTCTTGATGCCACTTCTGCAGGCATTGTCACCATAAAATGTCCAAGCCCAAGAGGCAGTGCAAAGAGAGAACATGTTTTGTCCCTCTGTGCACGAGTGGCTACCGTTCGAACAAGCAGCAAGTGTCTCTGTTCACGGCACCTGCCGACGCTACGCGGCTGGCGGAGTGGGAAAGGGCGATAAAAAGAGAAGACAGGAGGTTGACATTAGCATCTGTCGTGTGTGAAAAACATTTCGAGGAGAGCTGCATTGAGCGCGCGTTCAAGGTGACGGTAAACGGCGTGGTGAATGAGATCGCTCGAGACAAACCACGTCTAAAGCCTGATGCTGTGCCAACATTGTTTGAGCAATATCCGAAGCATCTAGTGCCCAAGAAAGCACCAAAGAGAAAGGTGAGGAACCTTTGCTTACAGGAGCCGCCTCCACAAAGACGCAGAGAAAAATCCCATCCGCTGGACGGCGGTGTGATCGGCAACATTGCAACGGATGAAATTGAAAGTTCCGTTTGTTCTGACGATTCGGCCGCGTGTGCCAAACGCACCGAAAGGTTGGATTCGCAGGGAGAGCCGGCATCACAGTCTCAAAGCGACAACCAGCCTGTACTACAGTCATCAACCGAGAGTGGCCACCCATTTAGTGGTATCTCGATTCCTGCAACATGGATGGAAGTTCCAAGTGTATCTAATGACTGTTTGTCCTACGCATCCTGCGAAGCCGAGGAAAATAATTTCGGAAACCTCTTCATTGAAAGAATGGTAATTTTTGGCAAGGCCTTGCCTGAGCGGGGGTCCATTTTAGCCACCGTGTATCTAAGAGGAAGGGAGCATAGCAAACAGGTGCTTGCAACCCGAAGTGAGGCAGAATTGTTGGTGAAGAAGATTTCCATGATGATCCTTTGCTGTGGCTGTGGCATGAAGCCAGTGTCAAACAAGTACTCCATGTACAGAAAAATGTTCTTTGCTGCTAGGTGCCTGTTAACAACTGAAACCGAAGGAGGTTCTTGCGCCCAGTGCAAATATCAACGAGTGCTTGCTCAGAACAAGATGGGCAGGTTGAGAAAGCAGAAGGGGTCCACATGTGAGAAAAGAAAACACGACAACACATCCCGCACTCTCACAAGAACAAAAAAGAAATTGGCTCGCGTGCAGGCACAAGTGGCTCAAATGAAAGAGGAAAATAAAACAATAAGCGAAGAGGCTCTAGAAGCGAGGATCCGGGCACTCCCTCAGAAACAGAAGCTTGCTGTCAAGAACTGCTTCACTGCTGCTCAACGGAAGTCGCTCAGAGGAATGACTTACGATGACGAATGGATTGTTGAGTGCATAATGATGCGGATGCGAAGTCCGAAACTTTATGAGCACTTACGTAAAGAAAAAGTCATGATCCTCCCAGGCCGAACCTGCCTTAAGAAATATCTGCAGCGCTTTGAAGGCGGTTTTGGTTTAAACCCAAAGGTGTATGCTGCTCTGGCTGAAAAAACGAAGGACATGGATGACTTCAGCTGCCATGGTGGTCTCGTAATCGACGAGTTGAAGTTATCAGAGCACCTTGATGTGAAATCTAATGGTGAGTTTCACTGTTGAGTCCAGAACCCTACTGAAATAATAGCGTATTGTTGCATTAGTCACATTGGTTTAATTTGAGGATCTCCAGTTCTAAAAGCTCATGAGTATGCTTGGTCTAAGCTGTGCATTCCGTTTTCTGAAGGCCAGCTCGCCTTGGCCTCAATTGATGCCTAGGCAAAAATTCACAAATGAAGATGTGTAAGAAAAAGTTAGGGACTAAATATATTGTATTCTTTATTTTATTTTTGCAATTCAGGTGGCATTGAGGGCTTCGTTGATCTTGGCGAGCAATCACCAAGTGACCAGAAAGGCATTCTGGCAGACCACGGCATGGTTGTACTTTTCCAGCCATTCACCGGTAAGCCGCATCAAATCTACGTTCCTTAGGGCTACGATTTAGGGACTGTTGCCAACACTACATCCATGTTATTTCTGATTGTGCCTGTTTTAGGGAACTGGACACAGATACTTGGTGTTTTTGCTGCGAGAGGCAATGTGAAGGCACCAACTCTTGCTAAGATCATCATAGAAACCACCATCCTTGCAGAACAAGCTGGCTTGGTTGTTAACACCGTAACATGTGATGGTGCCAGCTGGAATAGAAGCATGTGGCGACACTTTGGTGTACAAGGTAAGGGGGTCATGCAAACTTGCAGGGTGTAAAGGGAAGACGCGGGTTCCAAAATCGAAAAAAACCTGAAAAAAATATTGATTTTCTGGAACTGTTTTTTCTACTCTATATGGTGCAATATATCACCCAGTAAAGTTCCTCTGCATTGCTGGGTTGAGTAATGCCATGTTAGCGATAAAGTAGTAAATGAGCCCTTAAAACGTGATGAAAAGGCGCAGCTTTGGAGAATTTTAAATCGCGAATGGCATGGCGGATTTTCGCCTTCTTGGGCACGTTCGAAAGGACGCCTTTTACACTGCGTGGCGAAACATTAAAAATGTTGTAACTTGCAAACTGGCGGTCGGATATGCCCCAAACTTTGCACCGCCTAATCTAGTAACGAAGTAGAAAACTGGTGCAAATTTCAACAACCTATTTCTAGCATTTCAAAAGTTTCAAACCCATGTCCTCCGTCAAATTGTTATCACTTCTTTTGTTTTAGTCTCTGCAGATGGCCGCATCAAAAACAGCACACGGCATCCTGTGGACCCAACGAGGCAGCTCTTCTTCATTTCAGATTTTCCTCATTTAATTAAGAATGTTCGGAATGGATTTGTCGCAAAGGGCTATTTGACACCATCTGGTCATGTCCACAGTGGCGTAGTACAGGCAGCCTGGGACGTGGACCGTGACAATGTAACATTGAAGGCCATGCCTAGCATTACGCTTGCACATATCAAGCCTAACTGCTTTGAAAAGATGAAAGTAAATCTCGCTTTCCAGCTTTTCGGGGATGAAGTTATTAAGGGGCTCTTTGAACACAGGAAACACATTTTATCACGGTACAGAACAATGGAGCCAACAGAGGATTTTATTCGGCAGATGAACAAACTCATTCGTATTATGACAGCAAGGATGAGCGCCAGAGTATTGAAGCCTCGCAGTCCAAACGCAACGTTTTTACAGAAATTTTTAGTATATCTAAATGAGTGGGAGGCCCACGCGAAGCCAGCTGGAGGAGGTTTTTTGACAGGAAGTACAGCTTCTGGGCTCAGGGTCACAATTAAAAGCACGCTTGACCTGCTATCTTACCTGAACTCTGTTGCAGGATTTACATACCTTTTAACTGCTCGTTTGAGCCAGGACAAACTAGAAAATCTCTTTGGGATAATCAGGCAATCCGCAGGCTGTAATGACCACCCAACCGTGTCACAGTTCTTAGTAACTGTCAACGTCTTGTCCTTTTACAACCTTGCCAGGTCACCAAAGGGAGGCAATTGCCCTCCTGCAGTCGTTAAATCGCTCTTGAGTACTGCAGATGTGCCCACTGTCACAGCGAAGTGTCTGTCGGACCAACTGGACCATTTTCTGGACAATGGAAACATTGATGAAGCAGAAGACGTTCTTCAGTCCATTCACCCAGAAAATGACCATGAAGGGTATTCTAACAAAAAAAGCAACGCGGCTTTGGTGTACTACGTTGCTGGCTATGTGTCTAGAAAAACGGTAGCTAAGAATGCATGCACGAGTTGCGCAGCCGAGTTGTGCGTGTCTCAAAAAGAAGCGATGAATGATGTTAACTCTTATTTCACGGCTCATTTTGATAACGGTGGGCTTATTTATCCCACTGATAACCTGGCAAAGACAGTAGCAGCCATGGAGGATGCATTCACTAGCTTCTTCAGCAAGAACAGTGTGCATGAAAAGAGCATGCAAGAGTTTGCACGGAGCCTGCAGTCCTCAAAATTGCCTCAGATAGGGTGCCCCGAGCATGGAAAGAAAACCTTGGCAACTGTAGTGAAGTTCTATATTCTTTTAAGGTTTAGATTTTTCTTAAAAGGTTTGAACAGAGACCACGAAGGCCAAAGGCAGCGACTGAAATATCTTAAGTTGCGCCACTGCCAATAGCTTTTCCTTGCTCAAATTGATGTTAGAAATTTTGAATGCAGGCTTTCATAATTTGTATTTTGTTCCTATTTTGTTGATTCCAATAAATGTCTTACATGCCTAATAAAGTAAAACGTGAAACTATTTCGAGTCCCGTTATTTTTCTCTTTGCGATTATTATTTAATGTTCTACCACAGAAAACTGGAATGGACAGGCTAACAACTGCCACCGGCATGGCCACATCACCAGCCAGTTCCAAAAGAAAAGAAAAAAGCACGAAAGAAAAAAAAAACCAAGCGCAACCTGATGCCACAACACCGCTCAAGTACCTGCAGTAAATGCAAAAACAAAAATACCCGGATAACGCTACCAGCTGAGCGGTGCCGGCAAGAACTGCTAACTACGCCTGAGAAAAACATTCCTCGCAACCTGACACTAACACTTAAAAATACGGCCCAGCGACGCCTTGCTCACGACGCGCGATAGGAAACCTGACAAGCGAGCGGACCGGCAGCACCCACCCTTACAGCAGTGCCCCTGCGCGGCCGCCGATGACATTCATAGCTCTCCGTGCCACCCCAGCGGGAGCGCTCGGAACACTAGCCAGTATATTTCTAGGCACTGTATCCGTATCGTGCTCTTTTTTTCCTACGGTCCGGGCGTTGCGCGGAATGCGCTTCTTTGAGTCGCTGCCACCGCTACTTCGGCTTGTGATTGGCGTGTTTAGCCGTTGCTTTTATCTGTAGCCCGTGTAGCTTCAGTATAGCGTTTTGTTTGTTTTGTCCCGCATTGAGGGCTCGTGTCCCGCGTCCCGCAAGAAATTCCTAATTCTTCAAAATGTCCCGCATTTCATACTGCAGTAAAATTCACTCTGCAACTCATGGCGCTGCCGAACAACGGGGCACCAGGAAGCGCGGAAGTGGCTGGTAATCGTGGGAATCGCAATTGTACGCCATTTTCTATCCAAGCATTGCGGGAAGTGACCGTCGTTCTTGCAGGAGACTGGCGCACGTGCGCCGTTGTGCCTCTCCCCTTGATGGCTAAATATTGCAAGCGAAAATTGATCGCCAAAAGCTGAAAAATAAACTATTGTAATTAGTTGCAAATCATACTGTATCATGCAAAAGGGTTGTTGTGGAAAGCTTTTTTTAGTGAAGACGGCCACAGAAGGCAAAAAAACCTGCAACTCACAACGGTAAAAAAACAACAACATAAGGTTTTGTTTTTGTGTAGAAGCATGTTAATGTAAGAGTAAGTATCGACAGGAAACAATAAGCCAAAAAAAATATTTACTGGTTTTCTATTTCCTTCCGATGCATTGGGGTCTGATGCAGTCGATCTTTATGTTTTCGACTTGGATACTTTTAATAAAAAATTTACGATTACAAATAAACAAAAGTATATCACTGTGAGTGAAACTTATCTGTTTAATTGCTGCGTACAATTTTCAGGTGTACAATACGCTTTCGGACAGCACAGGATATCGGGGTGTGCGCGTTGGTGAATTTCCCTTAATACTTATTTCTTGAGTCGTGAAAATACCGTCCTCCTCTTACTCCCCTCCCCTCTCCCCTCCCCTCTCCCCTCCCCTCCCCTCCCCTCCCCTCCCCTCCCCTCCCCTCCCCCCCCCCCCCCCCCCCCCCCCCCCCCCCGGTCAGGGTGTCCCGCATTCCACCGGCAGGAAGGTGGTCACCCTACTCGAAAGATGCCGAGTGCAACTTGTAGCGCTGTGGGCTGCTCAAACAACCCTCTGCGCAATACGGAGGTGCTTTTTCACAAGTGTCCGACGGACCGGAAATTGGAGAAGGTGTGGGTGAACGCTGTTCGACGAGTGGACGACTTTGGACTTCGGCTTTTACGCACGCGAGGAAAAAAGAACGAAAAGCAGTCGTGTTCAACCCAGCACACGTGTGTTCGGGCGCCGCGGCCCGCGCCGGAGACACAAACCTTCGTGTCTGGGACTGACGCGCAGCGCGAAGGCGAGAGGGCTCCCAGTACTGTACGTCACTGGCAGCGCGGCGTAAAGCAACGCCGCTCCATCCACGGAGCCCAGATGACAATTTAGGCCTAGCGACGAGTACGGAAGACCACACACACGGCGACAGCCGCCGAGTACGGCACCGAAGGAGTTCACTTGTTTTCCAGTCGCTAGCTTTTGGGTATACAAGCGACGAGTACGGCATAGCGCACGCACGGCGGTGGCCGCCGAGTACGGCACCGTGCGAGTTCACGGGTTTTCCAGTCGCTAGCTTTTGGTTATACGCACTAACTCTTTCTACATAAGATCGATAACTACCACGTATACAGAATTAAAACAAAATCAGCTTACCTCCTATCTTTAGACGGCTAGCGCAACAGAGGTAGGTGGCGCTCGGCCTGTGTACTCGTTGAACGAGAACGATTGTGACGTCATGATCACATAGCGGCTGTTTTCCAGTGTTGCCGGGGCCTCGAGCGGCTAGTTTCGGTTTTGTTGGCCGCGCCCCAAACAAAACTTTCAGGCGTCGATATCTTTAAAACTACACACAATAGCGAGAAAAAAATTACACCTTGCAATTCAGGGACGCTGACTGCACTAAAAACAGTCATAATCCCAAAATCGAAAGTATGGACCGGAGTTGCCCTTTAACATGGACAGACTCGGATCGATTGCGCTAATAAGAAGTCTCTCTCTGTTGGTGAACTTGATGCTGGGATAGCATGCACGAACTGTGTTGCAAGAATTATGTGAGGAAACTCGTGCTGGCTTAAAGGGGTACTCCGCCGATTTCTTCATGGTCCCCGATTTGCTTGAAATTTTGCTAAACTCGCCAAACAATATCGCCAAAATAGTATCCCAAATATTAGGTCAAAATAATTTTTTTTCACAAAGTTATTGAATTTACAATTTTGGTCCTCACCGTGTTTTTCAAACTGAAAGTCTCTATTGGCAACAATGAAAAAGTGACGTCATTGGAAGTGCAGGGGTTCACTCTTTGGACTGTAGAATTTGTTCCCAACTGATTTGAAGCAGTTTCATGGTGTCAAATGAATGCCTTGGAAGCTCGCTCCAGTCCCCGCGCTCCAGCACGGAACAAATAATTGGCATATTCTATTTTTTAGACTGCTCGCCCGACTGGCAAGCTGAACTTCCACTGACGTTACGGCCCTGAAAAGGGCGGGTATATTTGAATGTCTGTTTTTGCATCATTTTCATTTGCCGCTTTCGCAATAACTATTATGAATTTCACTATATTAAATAGCATTCCAGAAAGGGTAAAGGCCTGGGAGTCAGAAAATATAGTTAGTTGAGGTAGCTCAAAAATCGGCGGAGTACCCCTTTAAGCTCACCACTCCAAAGGATAGAATTCAGTCTTCTCGATCTACTTGTTGGCAAAGAAGTCACTAGCGGGCTTCTAATTACGTGTGGCTTGTACGTTTTGGGTTTTCTTGGTCCAAAGAATGTTTTCTGCTCCTTCCCTGCCATACAAGAACATGTTTACCCGGGACGACGGATGCTCCTGCATTCGTCACTTCTTCTAGGCACAGCCTTTTTGGCGAGATAGGACAATCTAATACGATCTTTGGTGAGAAACAAATCTCTTTGATGTAAAGAATAATTTTCTCCCCGATGGCACCTTTCATCTAAAAGGGTAGTTTTCTCTTGCAATACATCCGATGATGTATTGCAAGAAGTCACTTGCTCAGTCACTCTAAGATAAACTGGGCGGTCGCAGACGTTCATGGGCCGCCTCGGCAAAAATGTATATCTGGAACCGCGGATATCCGCATTCAATTCGCATCCGCAGCCCCTGGCATCCGTATCCGATCCGCAAAATCTGATTCATTTTTATCCGCATGATTTATCAATGATTGCAACCTTGACACTGGGCAGCACGGCAGATGAGACTGCTGGTGTAGCCTTTCTTTAATCAGTGGCGACTGCTTGCCCTTCCGTTTTTCAGTTCGACTCTGATGAGCAGATGCTACTTGCTCTGGTCAGCAAGAGTATACACCAACTCATGTTTACAAACAAACCGGAGCGCCCGGAGCACCCCTAGCGGACGCCACCGGCGCCGCGCATGCGCGATGGGGGTGTGGGCAAAAAGCTTGCCGTCGCCCATAAACAAACCATTGAAATGCGATGTTGTCGGCGCCGGTGTGAGTCCCCGCGCTCTTTTTCGCGTTGGAATTGTTGATTCTACGTCCTCCTAACGATGTCTGACTACTTGAGTAGCGTCAGCGAAATTAACGAGGCTCGTTACACCGCAAAACTTCGCGTGATTAATCTGATATGCGGCGATTCATTCTGCGTGGACGCCGCAGAATGTACGCTAAAGCCTGATTCACATGATGAGATTTCGCTCGCAATTTTCAGTAGCGACGTCGCTCGGACTGCAAAAGCGTGAACCGTAGCTGAGATGGTCGGCGTCAATACTGAAAATCGCAAGCAGAATCTAACCAAGTGAATCAGGCATAACAAGTCTGTGATGGCTAGCGGTAACAAGGATCAACATCTTCTTGTATCTACTGTCGAGCCTGCTTACCAACCTTCAAACTTAAGTCTTTTGAGGCCTGCACTTAATTGTTATCGCAAGTACCAGGCCCACGTTTGGTCTACGGGCCGGTGTCCTCTAAAAGAGCAGACGACAAGCAGAAACGTTTTAAAGAGCAGACGACAGCTCGAACGATCAGGCGACCTTTTGAACTTGAAGACGCACTGAACGTAGTTCGCAGGTGGTCCGTACAGCTTGACGGTTTTCCGGCGTTCATTTTCGAACAAAACAAAAAAATTTGATGGCCAGTAGTATCCGTGAATTTAACCCAAAATGCTTCCCGCCCAAGCAATCGTGGTCCGACGGTGTCTGGTTTTCCCTTTTCACAGGACATATCCGCGTTCTCGGACGAACCGAGCGCATGAAAACTGATTTTCAAACCTTTCTCGACACTCTTAGTACAGCCCCAGTCGCAGCATTTTGACGAGAAGGCAAATTTTTGTCTGGTTATTTTCAAAACAACGCAGGAATACACGTCTCAAATGGGCACTTCCGCCCACAGCCCCGGACCGGAAGTGCGTCCGACGCGGCACCACCGCGCCGTGACGTAACAGAGATGAGTTCGTGTATACTAGAGCTTCGTCTGGCTTTGTTTCCCCCTCAACTAGCATCTCTGTGATGTCACGATGAGGGCGTAACAAACAGACACCTAAAGTTAGGAACTGCTGCTCCACAGGATGCAGCATGTCGTCGCTTTCCACCTGTGGCATCCTACAGTCGCCACACAGTATCAGGGGAAGCTCCTGTCGCCTTTTCCACTTGAGCAAAGGGATTGCTGGAGAGGAGGTGACCTCCTCTCCACCATTTAATTTGCTAAGGTGGAGAGTCTGGAAAAACTTTCCTTGAACTCGTAACTTGTTACCGGCTACAGACATATTTTAAGAACTCGTCAAACAAACATGCTGACCATGTATCACCTAGAAGTGGAAGGCACACAGTCCATTTGAGCAAAAAGTGGGTACCATAATTTTTGCACACCTAGTCATAGTCCATAGAGGCAAATTTTGGGTCAAAAATAAAAGCTATTGCTTAGTCTGCACGCCATGTATAGTCTGCACTTGGCATCTAATTAGAACATAAAAAATATAATAAACAGCACACCTTGACAAATGTCTGCTGCATTAGCTCACAAAGAAGAATTGTATTTACATAAATCAACATTCACATACTTCGTTATTCATAAAATCCTCAATGTGTTAACTTATAGCCGACTTACATAAGGCGTATTCTCGAAGAGTTTACGCATGTTTCAGCGAGCATAATTCCGGCATTTGGCGGGCGCTTTTTTTTTTTACAGAAGCGAAGAGGGGAAGGTCGCCAAACCACACACGGAACTTTTCGTCGGCGTTTGGAGCAGTGCGGCCCAATTCACGCCTTTCATGAAACAAGGTAAAATGTAAATCGACTGCTATATTATCGCTTTCCGCAAGGGGACAGAAATAAGTGAATGTTAATCAGCAACGAAAGCCTAACTTACTAGCACTGGTCTCAAAAATGTACCTCGCAATCTCCAAGTTGCTAACAAGTCCTGGCAGGAGGACTGCCACAATCTCTCCTCAAAACATTTTTCTTTTAAATTTTTTTTCCACACTGATTGCAGTATAGAGGGCTTTTTCTTCTTTCCCACTTGTTTATCGCTTGTTTGAAAGAGATGTGGCAATTACGTAGTTTCCCGATAAACCAGCGAACGTGATAAGCGAGCGCCCATTTCGGCGGCTGAGTCAAGTCAGCCAGCCAGCCGGTCCCAAAGCTAGGCAAGCCAATTCTCGTGTAACTTCCGGCTGTTAACTCGCAAGCTGATTGGCCGGCACTGCACCGTACACTTCTGCATACACCATGCCGAAATATGCCGAGATCTATTTCGGTCTGATTGTCGAATACGCACGTACTGACGCTGACGTTCAGGCATTGAGGAAGCGCTCATCCCGAAGGTACCTCGAAAATACGCCCTATGTGGTAAGGCCTTAATCAGAGTGAACATCTAGAACAAAACAAACCCTTCTATAGTTCGCACCTGTAGATGGTTCACACACTATAGTCCAGAAAATAAGGTAATTTTAATTTTTGCCATCTGTTGCAAGCTTTTTACGCTTGATCACGGGATCGATGCCCGCAGTGCCACCAAGAGTTCTATGCGACCACCGCTCGGCTTAGGGGATCGCTACTTTTGGGGATGGGGGGGGGGGGGGGAGGTTTGGATCTTTCCTGCAATCTCCTACACTTTAAATGATGTTAGCTCTAGGTTGCTTTTGCCAGCAACAGAACGTAGCTTTGTGCTATACATTCTGTTGCTGGACGGTTTGACCATTCCAGAGGTGGGGATGGGCCATGTGTCTCCATTCCTATAAGTTGAAACGGATGGAATTCCCCGGAAACTTCATTTTCTTGGAGCGGAGCTAGAATGCAATGGGGGGTGCTCAACTTGCAACGCTGGTCCACAGTGGCTGGTAGTTTGTTCCCAAAATGAGTTCCTTTTTTTTTTCTAAACCCTTTTTTTTTTAATTAAAATAAGAACGCCGACTTGACATAACAGAAAAAACAACTTCATTAGACGTTTCGCCTCCCATGCGGGAGGCATCATCAGTAGTTACACAGCAAATGCAGGGTTCAACCTAAACTCAACGCTATTTATCACGAATGTCCGTGTACGCTTCGTGGAGAGGGCCGCGGTTTTTTTGCACACGGATGTGTCCCTGCGAAGAAACCACGATTCTAGAAGCTTTCGGGGCCCCCATCTGTCCTCTCTCGCCAAGGTCGTCGCGGCCGGAAAGTCGAAAGAATGCCCCATTGTACACGCATGGTCCACCAGTTTTTTTGGCAGGAATGGTTTTTAAAGCCTTTGCTGCAACACCCGAAATAGATTAGGGTTCGCTACCAAGTCAGGAAAACAACATACTATAGTACATTCTGCTAGGTTCAGACTGTACGATAGATCGAACCCAAATGAGCTCGAGGAGGTTGCAAGCTGGGCACGATCACACTGGTTCTTACCTTTGTTTGCGTAACCGGTTTTGATGCTGTAGGTGTAGTCGGCAGGCATCACACTTTTTATGCTGTAGCCGTGATCTTCGGGGGTGGGCTGGTGTTCCTGCAAGAGGGACCAAACATTTTCAAATTGTCTGCCAAATTTATTGTCTCAATTTTCCTTGACTTTTCCAGGTTGTAATATTTCTAAACAAATTCCCTCCAACCATAACCAAGCTCCCCTAACCAAGAACGCCTAAACACAAGGCAAGCATAATTCACACATGACAGATTATGTGCTCCCCAGATTTATTTGAATGATGAAGGCAACTTAACTTTTTACGAAGTGTCTAGCGTTACGTCCAAGTTACGTCCAAATCGCCGCCTTTCCTAGGTTCACGGGGGAGAGAGAGGATGGCAAGGGGGAGGGTTAGGTATACACGTTTCAGTGCTCCGTCCGGACGTAACGCTAGCCACAGCATACTTTTTATTAAGTCAATCAGATTATATTTTCGGCTTCATTTAGTTTGCTAGAAGCATACCTGAACTAAAGCACTCTCCCAGGTGGCCCTGAAAGGGCAAAAACAAATTTGCGAGCCATAATCATAAACTTTTAAACAGTCTGTGCCATTCGTAACTTTCACAGCCTATAGACCATTCCACTAAAAGAGCAAAGAGGGAAATGCCCTCTCCGCCCAACCCGGTGCATCGTCTGCTCCATAGGCTGGGCAGTGTGCAACATCCGGTTGGCGTAGACAGTTGAAAATTTCGTTAATTTTGGCTATATTAGGCACAAATGTGCAGATTAAGATGTGCAAGTTAATGTAAAATGTTTTACCCGATAAAAAGACTAACCGGGCAAAATCCTGCAGTCACCTGCCGTGAAATAGAAAAAAAAGTTAACAAAATTTTATCAACAGTGGATTGGTCCGTCATCGGCGAAAAGTGATGGGGTTGCGGTACATTTTTACAAGATAGTGTTTGTACCGATTTAGGCCTGTAGCAACAATGTGTGGGAAGCCTAAATTTAAAAATAAAGAGAGGAAAACATGCTTGCTGCATACGAAACAATAACTGTGCGTTTTTTTTTTTTTAACAAACAATGATTTGAAATTTATTTTAAAGCCTGCTAGCCTTGGATATGAAGACCTTAAAGGAGCTGAGCAATAATTTTAACGCTGAAACAATATGCATCTTTGATATTGTTTATCTTGTCACAAAGGACAAAAAACACAACTTCCTTTGCAATGTTGCAATTCTGCAGCGTATTTGCCAGTCAAAAATTATATTATTTCCCAATCTGCAGCCGTCCCTGATCAGCTGCTGCAAGCGGCGGCCATGCCAACCACGCAGTGCAATGCCAAAGGGGCACTTGTAAAAAAATAGCAAGTTGCGCAACTACCTGCTCGATAAAAAGTAATTTTTCTATAAATCTCGTTGATCCAACATAAATGTAAATGCGCCAAAAACCTGATATAATCAACAAAACTTCTATTATATGCAGTTTCAGTGGCACCATCTATCCGAGGTCGACAAAATCGTCAGCTCTATCTGCTACCGTGACCAACAACCAGAAGCCAGACAGCCGGACCCTGACGAGCACATTGGCACTTTCCTCCTTTCGCCATGTTGATCGCACGGCGCAAGCACGTGGTCACGTGGTCGCGAATGGGTGAGTTCTTGCTGCTCACTGATGGCGCCAGGGAAAGAGCTTCGGAAGATGGTGAAGGAGTTGAAAGGTGCCGAAACATCAATCTTCGTCATTTTTTTTAAAATAAAAACTAAGACATGCAGGCAAAAGCGTTTTTTTTTTTCTTTACTTCAGAAGGGTCGAGACACCAACTCCCACAATTATACAGGCAAAGCACTGAAATTGTTGCACTGCTCTTTTAAGGGCGATTAACACGCTTGTGCCAAGTCCGACTGCAACGGCTTGCGACGTACGGGTTGCTGTGGCAACAGCTGCGTCGGCTCCAACAAAACTGGTTTTGCTAGAGTCGACGCAGCTGTTGCCATAGCAGTCCACACGTCGTAAACCGTTGCAGTTGCACTCGGGGTCTCGACGAAAGAGTGTGAATCGCCCTTCACGGGGCTCACAATATCGCAGATGTTAGCAGTGGTCTGTTTGTAACCAAAATAACTTTTTGTGATGTTTACGAGTAGATGGTACTTTGAAAGCGACTGAGTGTGCAATTGACTTCAGTGCACCGCCGATAACCAAACAATGGGACTGCGCCTGCAGTGCGGCTAGTGCAAAATATTTTATTGTAATTCATAAAAAATAAATGTAACGCAGCTTACCTCGATGTGATGGCACTTGCTTGGCTAACAAAATTCTATTACATATGGCTGCAAATATGCAAGGAAACCTGCTCTAGGTTTAAATGTTTCTGACCCCAGAAATGTTTCAACTAACACAGATAGTAAAAGTTCCTACGTGAGGCAATGCAACGTTGGATTTGTTTTCGGTTTCTGATCCTGAACATGTGAATTCAACTAACGTTATTGACCTCATTAGTGATCATGCCAGTGTTCATGTTAAAACATCTTTACGCTTAAAGGGGCACTGACACCCCAAAGGTTGTATTTTTTTTATTTTCTAAAACGATGCAAGTTGCAGTCATAGACACGCAAAAAAAAACGCATCGCAAAAACAAATTTTCCCGCGCGCACGCCTTTTTATTTTTGGCGTTTGATTCTCCCGCCTCTCGCCTCCTCGCTTCTTTTGATTCGTGGCGTCAAGAATCATGGAATTTAGAAGCTTTGAAGGCGACATCTCTATAACATTTAATAACGGCAATCCTAAAACATGTTTTTTAACGCAATTGCGAATGCACTACGGCCCTTCTTTTTGAAATACCAAAAATCGGGAGTTCGTTGTGGTGCCGTCTCCTGGATTCGTATCCTCCCATGGAAAAGAGGCGACACCGCTCAAAACCAATCCGCCGCCCAATGCCGGCGCTCGCTCCTTTCCTCCTCGCTTTGGGTCGCCATGGCAACAGCAGGGAGTCGTGAAAGAAAGTGGACTCTCAGGACTGCACAATATTTGACGTCAACGCACCGGCGCAGATCGCGCGGGAACTTCGAATTCAGCATTTGGAAATTGTTTTTTTACTTCACAAATACTGAATTCCCAAATTTCAAATTTTGGGGGTAATTTCCCGGGATCGTTTTCAAACGCTTTGGATAATAAAAAAAAAAATATGATTCTGATGAGTCAGTGCCAGTTTAAAGCGATTGAAAAACTTCCACATGCTCATTCATGATTACGTTCGCAATCATGTTCACGCCTTAAACGCAAAACTGGCCTTGGTCTCTGATCACTAAACCATGACTTGCGTGCATCGTTCGGTGAATGATAACTGGATTGAAAAAAAAAACTACATTGCAGTATCTTATTTCCGCCCTACGACTCCCATAATCTGAAACAAATCCACTGCCATTTCACCTTGGTTTACGACAAAAAAAAAAAAAAAAAAAACGCCTACAGAATAAAACAAACGTCTATTTGCAAAAGACAAAAAGAGCGGTAACGACAATGATTGGTCCTCTTATCTGACATTTTCGAGACAGACCAATATTGCAGTTAAAATAGCTAAAAAGGATTTTTACGGTACCAAATTATAACATCTACTTCGTACTACCTAATCCTTGAAATTTTGAGAAGGCCATCAATCAGAGTCAAGCGCAAAATGACCCAGTGTTTGTAGGAATTAATAACTGACAATGAAGAATCAAATTTTTTTAACTTTTTTTTTTTTTTTTCGGAGCATTTACAGTGGAAAACTTTTCTCGTCTTCTGCATCCTGACTTCCCTATGCCCCCGTCAAATTCAATAGTGACGGTATAAAAAAATTAATAGAAACGCTTCCTTCTAACAGCACTCCGAAACTAAGCCTCTGGATGGACGCCTATAATCAGAGCAGCTGCGAACATAGCCTTTGCTCTATTGAGAAATATTGAGGCATCATGGGCCCGCACAGTCACAACGATTCTGCAAATTATGATTCCTCTTCTTGGGGTAAGTTAGCAGGACTCTCGAATGACCAACGCTGCCAACAAATAAGTAAACCCAGAAACAGTTCACAAAGAATACAGCAGAAAACTCCACATAAAGAAAGACGTAGCCCATTCTTTCCTTCTATCCTTCAGTGGAATGTAAATGTTTACGTACACGTTTGGCCCGTTCTCCGCCAAACTCTTGCAACCGAACGAACAGATGTACTGGCTCTACAAGAAACGTGCGTGATCCCAGGAGAGGTCCGTCTGTCTCCTTATGTCTTTCATCACAGTGCGACTCTAAGTACCGATGGAAGATCGCGGGTTGCAGTATCGGTCCGTGATGATGTATACCATGCCCCCCTTGATCTTTCAGACTTGTCTTCAGAGATTGCAGAATACGCCGGGGGTGGTAGGGGTGATAATCGTAATTGGCCGGCATGTCACAACGGTTATTTCTGCATATATTGCCCCGCATGGCGTATGGGAAGCGAAGGTGCTAGAAGAAATTCACAAGAGTGGCCGAGGACAGCTTATTATATGTGGAGATTTCAACACACACAATGAATCCTGGGGCGGTACTCGAACCGACTCCAGGGAACGACAGCTCGAAGATACTGCGGCAGCCCTGCAACTGCGAGCTCTTAATGACGGGTCGAAGAAATTTTGTAGACGTGGAACTAACGCCAACACAATAGACCTAACGTGGGTATCGTCACAAGTTGTCGCCTTGTGGACAACCCAACCGGACACTGGAGGGAGTGATCATGTTCACATCAGGTTAACGCACCCAAGAGCAACTCCAAAAAACCTCAAGGTCTGCAAAGTTACTAACTGGGACCTATTCCACCAATACATCTCTTCTGCTATAGTGGAAAGCAATTATGACGATCTTACTACACGCATTGCGAAGTGTGTGCGGCTTTCAACGCGATCCGTCACAGTTCCAGTTACAAGCGCGTTAATATTCTTAAAAAAAAAAAAAAAAAAAACCTGTGGGCACTTGTTGCATTTATTTTAGAGAAGGGTGTAATGAAGAAAGAAAACAATATTTTCTTTTTTGCTGCCAAGTGTTTTTCATTGATAGACATGTGACGAACGGCGAAAATAAACCCTGGGGAAGGGGAACAAGAGGGGAATAGGACAAACATAAATCTCAAAACACTGCTATGCGACTGGTACGCGATTGAAGAAGACCCTGGTTAGCGCAGTTGATACAGCGGTCCACTAGAAATAGAGAGGTCCCGGGTTCGCTACCCGGACCAGGCGAATTTTTGGGTCGCTCACCAGTCACCTAGCTGTGTTTGGAGATTTGTGTCCGTCCTTTGTCCCTCTTGTTCCCCTTCTCCAATGATTGCTTTCGTCATTCTTGTCCAGCTCGCTTGCACCTTTGCATTTAATTGCGGTATAATCAAGAAATGTCACTTTTCTTGTTGTCATTGTCAGTTTTTGCTTCCTCAACATTAGGCTTAGTGTAGTACGTCGGCTCGTGGAGGAACTCTTTCTTTTGATCCAGGTAACGCCAGATTCTCAAGCTTCGGCTGTTATATCACCACCACTAGCGTCACATTCTCACGTAGTTTCAGCTTTTTCCTTAATACAGTTTGTAGACAGAAATTAAAAGGAACTTACCAGTCCGCTTCTCTCGCACACTGGTGCTCGTGTAGCATCTAAAGGAAGAGACGGAGTGGCATCATCGTCGAAATGTCTCCGCTGTTTCGGGAAGCACAGTTTGTTTGAAACACGCCACGACGTGAAGCATTGCACACAGAAGTGGTCGGAGCACACGCGGCTGGCGGATTCTGGTCGCTTTGGGTCATCGTGCAATCCAAGTGCTCCGAGCCACCGACTTCGTAGTGGCTCCTTGGTGGGCAGACGATGAAAAGACACGCTCGCATCGCGGTGCGTACGAGTGCAGCCATTAACAAGGCACTTCATCGGAGCCACGGATCAGTGATCGGAGCATCGGAGCCGACTTGGACGAGTCACCTAAAGTACGGTTGTCATGATTGCAGCAGACACTGGTTCCCGCACTTCACCGCACCGCAAAGTCGCACTTCACTTTAAAAGTGAAAATCTTTGTCCTGATCTAAAAGGATGCCCAAGCGGGCACATGAGAACGCTACTTCCTGCCACAAAGGAAAACGCGGCCCAATCTTTCGAATTTGAGGATGAGGAAGGGAGGACCCGGAGGAGGGCAATAATGGACAATAATGGATGGATGGATGCTACTGGCTATACCCTTTGTATCGGGCGGTAGCTTGCGCCACCTAGCCTACGTCTAATAAAGACAAACATTTGATTCCCCCGCCCTTCTAAGCCAATTTTCTCCCCCCCCCCCCCAACTATCACCAGGTAGTGCGGGATATCACCAGGCTGACCTTTGGGGCATCGGGCAAAAAAACTAAAAACATCACCCCCCGCCTCTTCCCCCCGGCGAGGGAGTCGCCAATTTTCCTCTGGTCAAACCTTGTCGGCGTTACCCCTGCACACCCCACTGGGGGACAGGGTTGAGTGAGACCACGGTGGAAGATAGAGGAGGTGGTTCAACGCCAACGAGGTAGAGGGGCTTAGAGCGATAAACCGGGGATCCGGTCTGCACTCGAAAGTGACCCCCATAAGGCGGCTGCCATTGTACGCAAATTTGACCACAAAGTCTGAAAATATATCTCCAACCAAAAAATGAAAAGCAACCCGACGTTTCAAAACCAACACGGTTTCTTCTTCAGGGGTGACTGAAGGCGCGCGGACACAGCAGCAGCTCCCAACCTCTTCGTCTTCAAAAAAGGAAAGAAAAGAAAAAGAGAAAAGAAAAAATTAAAAACGAGAAGTTAGGAAATCGGAAAAATTGTAAAATAACTTGTTAGTTATGAAGATGGTCATCTCTTCAGCTTTTCCGTCAGGTCACGGAGGCCATGTGCGTACACAGAGGGCAGAGCGCCCAGCGACCTGTTTAGGTTTCCAGTGGGGTGTGCTGGATGTGCCACGATTCCAAGAAAAGTCTTCTTCGAAAATTGGGCTCTGTGTCCACCACGTGCGCGTTCGCGAAGTCAATGCGATGGTCTAGGGCAGGGGTGGCCAGGCTGACCCGACCTAAGAGCCGCAAACGAAATCACGAAGCTTCTAAGAGCCGCGGAAAAGGGGGGGGGGGGGGGTCAAACTTAAACTTTGTTCAGAGTCTGACTGTACGTATGAGGACACAGGCTGCACGACTGTACGTATGGGGGTACAAGGCTGCCAAACCGCGAACCGTGCTTTATTCTGAAATCTTTTCTTTTTTTCCTGGGGAAACGCAGAAAGGGGTGGGGGAGGGGGGGGTCCCCTTACGAGGGATCCGAGAGCCGCATGCGGCTCGCGAGCCGCGGTTTGGCCACCCCTGGTCTAGGGTATCGCAATGTTCGGCGATACCCAACCAGGCAGATATCTGCCGAATATGTTTACTTTCCAAATTTGACCACATGTCACATGACCAAACCAAATACGTGACGTCACAGGAAAGATGGCAGCGCCCATGCAGCGGCTGGCCCCAGCTGGGCCGGAGCTTGTCGGATGCTTTGTTGGTTGCCGTTCGTCTCGGCGAGTTGATTTCAGACGCGGAAGCCGTCATATGAGGCCGGTCGAAAGCGAGTTCAGAGTTCAGCGTGGTGTTTGACGTAGGTATAACGTGAAAATACGGAGGAACGGTGTGCATTTCGCTGGTGACCGACGGGGATATTGCCACGGAAGAGACAATCTGACCTACGTTGCTCGGACCTCGGATTGATTCGGATACCGCTAGGATAAAATTTAAGGCGACGTTTCTGTGCTCTCGTTCACCATCGGAATCTTCGAGGTTTGCAGTGAAGCGTGTGCAATATATTTGGATACACAGTTTAGCGACGGAAATTGCGTGAGTCGTGCTTGGCGGTGTGCAATCGCGGTGCAGCTTCGATCAAATGACCGAGGGCTCACTTCGGTTGTGCGGCGCACCGGAAGGCTGCCTTGAAGCTGGTAGTTCCCGTGCCGTGCTAAATGATGCTGTGCTGCTTACAAATTGTTCCGGTGTAGAAGTGCACTTTCACGGAGCACAGGTGTTGCAGTTGGTATTGATCCCGCTGGTCTGTCGCACGTTTCGTCAACACAAACGTTTCATCCACACTCGTTACGCGAATTGCAAGCTGTCCGGACATTTCATCGAGCGTGTTACGTACCCGGCTCACGCCGCTTTGTGGCAACAGTCTGCAGTGGCTCATTACCAGAAAAGTGGTCCCACATCCATTTCAGTTCAGTTCGTCCACGGCAGTCGCCAAACCCCGAAGGAGAGGATTTATTCGGACAGAATGCCACTAAGGCAATGCAGCTTCTTCAGTGGTCAGGATAGATTCTCTTCTGCGAGTTTTGTTATACTGTCACGGATTCTTGTTCCAGTCCTATCTTCTATCAATATTCACTATTCTGGGACACTGCAGGTCATGCTCAGCTGTAATCGTATGTTCAGGTGGAGGTGCTGGGCACTTTACCCATAGCCCTTCACTCTGTGTAAACCCGGCGGCTCTTCAGCCGAGTTACCCGATAATGGGACACGGCTGGCGGACTATTCTGCGTCTTATACCCCTGTTGAGCCGTAGACAAAGTCCTGACTCGAGCCTGGCAGAACAACCGCAAGACGACCGAGTACCACAAGGAGTAACCTCGGAAATACACCACGAAGCACCTGAAATCCGAGCCAGTTGCTGCTACCAGGAAAAACCACCGGAATTCGGTCTCCTGTCAGAAAATCCGAAGCTGACTAAGCCAACAATGACAAACCTGTAGCAGCAAACCGTGTCCCCTCCCACCATTGTTTGCATGCCCGTCGCAAATCACACTCCGACGCTTTTTCACGCAAGCTGTATGAAGACGTCAAGGACTGGATTAAATAATATGACAGTGTCACCCGCCACATTGGGTGGACAGACAACCAGCTCCTGCAGAACCTATACTTCTCGTGAAAGAAACTGCCGGCACTGGTCTGAGAACCATGGATCCTCCTTAACGTCATGGGAAGTTTGCAAGATCGAGCTGAAGCGTGCATTCGTCAGCCAACATCAACGAGAGAGAGTCGCATTCTTGATTCTGTCCAGGACACTGCCCCAATGAGAGCGCCACCGCACTTGTGGAGGATGTTTTGCGCTTGATCGAGCGCCCACGCCCACGCCGACCTTGATGCTACAGAAGACAAGAACCTAAGAATCCCATGCGCCTCACGTGAGGGACAACACCTTCGGCAGCCTTGTCCGCAACCCCCCAAAAACAGTCGAAGTGTTCATATCACTGAGGCTTCCAACATGGAATGTGCACTGCATGCCCGAGCCTGCCACTATAAACAACTTCCCGGCGTCTCGACACTCGAGTTGTCCAGCTACTACTTCGACGCCAGCCTCCCAGGCATCCACGACGTTGTCTGGGAGGAGATCAGGAAGCTACTTCCTGCCATCAGTTGCCCGGCTTTTATTTTGATTGCCGAGATTGTTTCGGAACAAGTTTGACAGGTATTTCAACCGAGACTTCTGCGAGCGAAGCGGCATCTGACAAACCAAGGGCAACTTACGCCACAATGGCACGACGACCGCCACCGTCTGTTCTTAGTATTCAATGCCAATTCAATGAGACACTCGTAACGCCGAAGCATTCCCGACATCGTGTGTAGGTCTGTGCTCAACAAAGTACACCGAGGAAAACGTAGGTGATGCGAATGTGCGACCGAAAACCACTTTGCTACCACTGCATGAAGCCGACCATGTCTACCAAAGCAGCCCGTACCAATGAATTGGTCGGCGAGGGTTCGTGCCAAACGACCCTCAATTACGTCTAAAGGAGCGATCACGGGAAATTAAGGATTACCTTCGGCGACCTTTGTCCCTGATGCCGAAGATTCTGAATCCCTGATTACCCCAAAGCTCCTCATGTCCATCACCTCAACAAGAGGTAAGCACGACAAAGCAGGTGAGCGGCGATGCAGTGACAGTGGATTTGGTGTCGGTTGTCGTCCAAGGACAATACCTAAAAATTTGCTGACACCAATTTTCTGTGTCCACTCCACGAAGCGCACAATTTCCAACTTTGAGGGAGAATGCCCCTGAGTGACTTGAAGGAATAGAATGGTTGATTGCTCTCAAAAGTGAACTGCAAGCATCACCAGACTTGGATAGCAAACAAAAATTGTTGCCAGCTATCAAGTCAATGGTACAGCAAAAGGCACAGCCAAGATCAAAGCTTCCTTGTTCGAAGCGCCGAAGCAGCCTGCACTAACGGCGATCGCATCACCTACCACAGCCAAGGACAGACCCAGCCCGACCGTCCCGACTGCGTCAACAAGAAGGAATGCAAAGCAATTGAAAGTTTGGTACTCCAACGTAAGATCAGTGAGAAACAAGATAAAAGAGTTAAACACTTTACTTGAATCAACAGACGACACTCTGTTTACCCTCGCCGAAACATGGCTGGACTCGGCGACATGCGACGGCCAGATCGTTGACACCACCCGGTACCAGGTGTTCCGGAAAGATCGCTCGACGTCCCGCGGGGGTGGGGTCATGGTGCTCGCCCCATCCCACCTTGCTTGCCGCCGCCGATACGACCTCGAACAGGATACATTGGAGGCCATCTTCGTAGAATTTCGGAACTCCCGGAGCAAATTTCTCCTAGCCTGTATTTACATTCCCCCTCACAAACAAACACTGGTATTCGAAAGCCTCCAAATTTCCATCGACAAACTTGTGGAACAGCGCTCATCGTACACAAGCATCTACCTGCTTGGAGACTTTAACGTGCACATCGATTGGAGCGATCTCTCGTCCCTCATCCCGTCCACCCCAGCGTCCCAGCAGCTCCTCGACATGATGGAACCTGCTGGATTTGTCCAGCTGTGCAACGACCCCACATACCGGTCGCCAGCAGGAAAGGAGTCCCAACTCGACCTGTGTTTCACCACAAA